TCTTCCATACGCTTTCAAAATTAATACCTTTACGAAACAGTTTTTCGTCAGAAATAGATTTAATCGTGATGAAGTTTTGAACCAACATAATTTTTACCACTGCACTAATTCACCCCCCCCCTCTTAGTGCCGACTCTTTTCCTAACAATTGGTATCAGAGTCTCGTTTTTCATATTTGGTTTAACACCCAAATAGAAATGACTCTTTTCAGCTTTCAAGAGGGTCACTCTCTTATTCGTCCTCCCTTGTACAATGGGACGGACTACACATATTGAAAAACTCGAATGAGAGTTTTCATACTTTCCTTGGATTTAAATTTATGAAATATTATTGAAAACTGATTTGAAAGGTCTTCTCTTCCAATGAATCATTGGAATGATTCGGAGAAGAAGATTTTTTTTCTTAAATACTAGAGCTATGAATGCTCTATTTTGCGCTTTGGATAAAATTGAGTTTAATCATGTTTCTATGTGCGAAATGACTTTCGATATTTGACACACTCTTGAAATCACACACGAAGGCACTACTAGAGTTAAAGTTTCGAAGGTCAATCTTTTAATGCACGATTTTGAACTATTTTGAATGAAGTCGAGTGAAACTATTATTGACATGTATACCCGTTTTACGGATATCGTCAGTGGTTTAAAAGTTCTTGGCAATTGCTTTTCTAATTTTGAACTTGTTAACAAGATTTTACGATCACTTTTTAAAAATTAGGATTCGAAAATAACGGCTATTCAAGAATCAAAAAATTTGAATACTTTTTTAATCGAAGAATTTATCAGGTCTCTAATGACTTATGAAATGACATGCAATGCACGTGAAGAACTTGAAAACCACCTTCCAAAGAACAGGAAGGATTTCGAACTAAGAATAATTGAAGATCACTCGAGCATAAGCTCAAGTGATGGTGAACTTGAACTCATCACATTGAAATTTAAAAAGTTCATTAAACAAAAATTAAAGAACAAAAAGAATGCAACTACTTATTATGAACGTAAGAAGAGGGAAGAACTTTGAGATAAATCGAGCTCCTCCGAAGACGAGGAGAAAATCAATAAAGGTGAGGTGACAAACTACGCCTTAACAGCTATGACAAGGTAAACGAAACTCCCTTAATTTATTTCAAAATTACATGATGCTTTGTACGAGTTATTTTTAATTTAGCTTAGAAAATTTATTTTTCTAAAAAATTAATATATTTAATAATGTAATAAATAATGCTAAAAATAAAAATTTTAGGAATCATGCTTATCCTTCTAGTAATGATTATGAAAATTATGAATCAAGATCTTGTTTTTGAACTCCCATGTTTCTTTTTGTTATTTACTAAAAATGAGATTTGTCAAAGTAAATCATATCTATTGATATACATGAATTGAGATCTTATTCTCCTACTATTATTTTTGCTATTCACTAAAAAGAAAACTTATTCTAATAAACCACGATATGTTACTTGACATCTTTTAAGGTTTATGACTTGAATTTTATTATGTAAAACTCCTTGTATTCATGAAGTATATCTCAACACCAAGTTCTTCTTGATATTCTTCATATGATGATATGAATGCATGCAATACTATGTTTTTGACATTCATGACTTGATTTTTTAAGGATTGAAATAATGACTAGAATATTGATGTAATTATGAATGATGATTTGGTATTATGCATGCAATACTTCAACTTATGATATTGATGCATGTAATGATGAAATATTCATAATAAAAAAATTATTTTGACATTCATGACTTGATTTTTCATCTTTGTTATTTACTTTTGTCATGATTTAAAAATTATTATAAAAAAAATTATAAAATTATTTTCTTCCCTTCTTTTTGGACAATGACAAAGGGGGAGAAATTTTGCTAGCTTGTATACTTCAAAAAGAAGGAAAAAGCTTGCTCATCCTTCCTAAAAGATGTAAAAATTTTTGCCAACTTTCATGTGTAAAATTTGCTAGCTCACAAATTACAAGGAGAAAAACTTTCTAGGAAGCAAAGTTGCTCGCTTATTCAAAAATGATGCATGCAATATTTATGATTTTATTATGATGATGTATTTGATGTATTGCATATCATGTATGAGAATCATGATTAAAATTGCATTGACTTGAATTAAATTTAAATTCAAGGTTTATCTCAATTATGACATATTGAAATAAGAATGACACTTTATTTTTGTCATAATTTGAAAATTGATGAATTGCACCATTGTTTTGTTATTCCTCTCTTTTGGCCAATGACAAAGAGGGAGAAAGAATTTCTAGCGTGCACATCATGAAAAGAGGCAAACTTGTTAGTTTGCATAAGTCAAGAAGATGCAAAAACATGTTAGCTTGCTCATCTCAAAAGAGAAGCAAAGATTGCTAACTTGCATATTTCAAGAAGCAAAAGTTGCCTTCTTGAACATCTTAAATATTGCTTGCTTACATGATGGAAAACTCAAATTTTTTGCTAGCTTGCAATGATGATAAAACTTGAGATTTATTATGCAATGATTTGAACTTGGATGTCTAAAACCACTTGCTAGTTGCACTTCTCCTTTTTGTTGATGACAAAGGGGAGAAGTATGATATTATGCATAAGTTTATGATAACATGTTGCTTGGATTTTTGAATCCAAGAGTCTCTATCAATATGGCATATTGATAGGGGGAGTTTGTTTAAACTCTGGGAGTTTGTTTAAACTCCATCATCAATTGGTTATCATCATTAAAAAGGGGGAGATTGTTGAATCTCAGATTTTGATGATGAAACCAATTGATAAGTGTTTATGAATTGATCTGCATTTTGAGTGACGCAGGATGCTTCGATTAGGATAAGATAGTTAAAGCAGGAAGAATCATGTTGGGCCGGTATAATATATCAAAAGATTGGACGTCTAGCCGGAGGATCGGATGATGTATTGATAGAAGACTTCGGGCCATGGATGATGTATCGACAGAAGAGCAAAAATTATGCCAAGGATATCAGAGTTGTGGAGATCAACTGGTCGATTGGGCAATAGGCCGCAAGAGAGGACAATGTGTCGAAGAATCAGAGGAAGTGTCGATGGACTAATGATATGTCGGAAACATGAATCATGCTTAGTAATAATTGTCTAGATCGAAGTGTGTTTTTACATATGCAGGATTAACTACGATAGCAAGGCATAAAGCACAATGAAGTCCCGGAGTCAAGAACGCGATTTCGTTGGGAGTTCGAGAGTTCGTCGGAAGTTTGGATGTTCATTGAAAGTTCTATCGGAATTGACCGAGAAGTCCCAGAGCTTGCTAAAGAAGCTCGTTGGAACTCACCAAGAAGATCATCATGAAGTCTAGGAGCTTACCGGGAGTCCGCTGGAACATTGCCGAGAGATCGTTGGAAGTTCGTCGGAAGATCGCTGTAAGCTTGCCGGAAGAAACCTAGACTTACGAACTTTATTTAGCTTAGTAAATGTCTTAAAATTCGTAGTTAGTATATAATAGGGATTAGAATTGGGCCAACCCAATTAGGGGACAATTGGGCTAAGTTTGGGCTGTGTTGGGCCAAGAGAAAGGCCCAAACAGTAACCAAACAGGTGAAACCATCATGGCATAGTCTCCGAGACCGTGTCAGGCGATGGTACCGCTAGTCTGAGCATTGGTACCACCGATCTGGTCAGTGGTACTGCCTAGTGTCAAGTTGTAGGAGATGGTACCGGCCATACCTTGAAATTTCGGGGGTTTGAATTTTGGGCTACAAATTTGAATCCATTTGGGGCCTATAAATACCCTAGCTATTCCTGCATTGATAAGTAAGAAATATTGAGCAAAACCCTGTAATTCTAAAGTTGTAAACCTTAGAAAGTTGAGTTCCATCCTCTCAAAGCTTAGAGAGAGTTCTAAGGGAGGTGTGAGAAAGATACATTGTAAAAGAGGGTTGTAAAAAGTTATCTCCTAAACTTGTGAAAATGAGAAAAGGGGTGTAAAAGGGTAGTTGGTCTTTGCTCATTGAAAGAAGACCGATAGTGGATGTCGATGGCATCGACGGAAGAGGAATCGACGAAGTAGATATAGTTCACGACGACCGAATCACTATAAAAATCTGGTTTGTGTTTCTCTCGTGCAATTTACTTTACTGCAAACCACTTTATTTGCTTTACATCTACTACACTCTTTCGTACGCTTTCAAAGTTAATACTTTTATGAAATGATTTTTTTGTCAAATATGGATTTAATCGTAACGAAGTTTTGAACCAACGTAATTTTTACCGCTGCACTAATTCACCCCACCCTCTTAGTGCCCATTCTTTTCCTAACAACTATAACTAAAATATAGACAATAATCAATCGTATCAAACAATAATCATTATCTATAGGTAATATACGGAGATTAGTTTCAAGTTGCTTCCTCAAGATACAAAATTCAAAATAATATTTATATATGAGATCATGTCTTTTTCTCCTACTACAAATTTCAAGATAAATACAACTAAACAAATAGAAAAATAACTTAATTGGTCGACACGTTCATAATATTCGTCTCTTAAATGACTGATCTTTTCCAATTCCCCTTTATTACATTCCAATAAAAGAGATCAAGAAGAGATAATAACTAACTTCTATTGACAGTCCATCAACTTCTTGATAGGATGACGATGCTGCTGATAGGGACACTAATTTGATATCGATATTTATTTTAGAGACTAATTATTATTATTATAAAAAGATAAATAATAAAATTAAACTGGTTGATACCAAGCCTCATACACCAAACAGTCATTTCAAATCTTTATCTAAGTTACGCTTTCAAGTTATATATATATATATATATATATATAGATCAATAACGGGTCAGATTGGATCAGAGGCTCGATTTCGAACGGATGTGCGGTCCGATTTGCCCTTTGATTAGAATAGAGTCGACCTAGTTCGATGCGCGGACCTCAAGATGCACCCGTAATTGCACTGAACTGCCTTCCGCCGACTGTTTCGAGCTGATCGGGGCACGTGAATGCCATTATAACGATTGAACGAAAAGTCGTCCATTTACTCGTTCGCCCAAAACTCCTCGCCTTGGCGAAACACCCGAAACAAAAATCCAAACCCTCCCAAAACAGTTCAATCGCTCCTCTTATGCGCTCCCTCTATCAAATTCGTATCTCGACAGGGCAAGTTGGGGTAGAGTGACGGGGAGAGAGAGCGGGAGAGGAAGGGGCGAATAGAGAGTGGCAAAAGGAAGGGGGAGGAATGGGGCAGCCTTCGGTCCCGCCGGTGCCGCCTCTCGCCCCGCCGTCGCTGCCGCCGCCGGTGCCGGAGCCGCCCCCGGGGAGCCGCCAGGTCCGTTGCGCTGGCTGCCATGGGATCTTGGCGGTGGCGCCGGGGATGATGGAGTTCATCTGCCCCAAGTGTCAACTACCGCAGATGCTGCCACCAGAGCTTTTGGGTGCCCCCCCTCCCAGGCGCGCGCCGCCCAAGGCCCAGGGTATCGATCCCACCAAGATCCAGCTTCCCTGCGCCCGTTGCAAGGCCATCCTCAATGTCCCTCATGGCCTCGCCCGCTTCAATTGCCCGCAGTGCGGCGTGGACCTGGCTGTCGACCTCTCCAAGCTTCAACAGTACTTCCCCACGGCCTCCTCCTCCCCCGCCGCCTTCCTTGGGTTTCCACCTGTCCCGCCCGAGGAGATCAATGAGGCAAATCAATTTCCTCTCTTTCTTTTCTAATTTAGTTTACTGACCATGTTTTGTTTGTTCAGTGGAAGTACTCTATTCAAATTGGTGCTATGGCTTGATATCCTTTTTACTACATTGATTTTGCAAAAGTAGGGATAGTTCTTGTCCAAGGCATTTAACCACCTTAATGTTCAAGAAGGTCAATGAAATGCGGATACTCTTGAAGGGGGAATTATAGGTCAAGTGGCAGTTATCAAAACTTGGATAATTATGCATTTCATTCCCTCCTTTTATTATGCTCTTTAGTCTGGGCACGTTCTTAGTTCTTACCATGGAAGCATGGGAGATTAAGGCAAGAAACTTGATTTTGTCCTTGCGAGTAGCATTGGTCACTTGATAACTGTATGCCTTTGGAAATATTGTAGTATGTTTGATTTGATCATTGCATGGATTTAGAGTTTCAAGAAGCTTGGAATGGATTGAAAGCAAATGTAAACAAGAAAGATTTTTCATGTGCTTTTGACATATGGATGCAATTGGGGGTGTATACCAACAAAAGAACAGTTAGGTCCTAACTATCTGTGGTTGGCTATATGAAATTGTTTTTCCACTAAGCTCTGTCGAGGACAACATCACTAGTGCTATATGAGGGACCATACTAATATCTGCAATTCCTATGGCTCCAGGAATAGCAGGATTGCAGGTGTGCATGGTGCTATGGTATAAAGATCCGTATGGTGTAGAGGGCCGCTGGGTATGTGCAAAGGAGAGGAGAAAAAATGCATCTAAAACACATATAAGCCTGTACATGTTTAATCGATTGATTCCATCCTTGACGATAAATCCCATTTCTTCCCTCTATGAGTTTCAGCATCAACAAGAATTCTAGTTCTCTCTATTCATATGTCATGATATGAATATTTCATATAATTCCGGTATGTATTATGATGATATTATATTGATGCTTACTCGAATAAAGATAAAATTGAATATGGATGCTGCATCATGGATTGCTAATAAAGTCACTGCTAATGTTGCAAAGTAAGACATTTAAGAAACCACAGCAGTACTAGTGATCCCCATATGATGCGGCCTATTTTGTAACATGATACGTTTTTCTTTGACTTGGAGATTATATGCCATTCCTAAGTTGCATACCTTTTATTTTTCGCCCGATAAACTTGATCTGTCACATTTGCTTTGAGCATCTTGAGGGGTATAAGCTTCTTTAAATTGTATTTTTATTTATATATTCTCCAATTGTTGCATTGCTACACCATGATTCGGATAAGTATCGAGACTTTGAGATAATTAATTTACAAAGTTTCATTCTCGTCTGGAATTTTTAATCGATCTATTGCTGACAAAAGAAGACTTGTTTTTGTTTTTCGCCCATCCTCATTTCTCCCCATCATGGTAATATTTCTAGGTTGCTATTGATGTGGAGCGCGAAGAAGATGAAGGTGGTACAGTTGGGGAAACCTTTACTGACTATGTAAGTTTTGTTTAATTTGTGTGTCAAAGTTACTAAATCTAATGTGAGTAGAAGCAATTTTTTTCCATTTATCATTTTCTATCTTTGTACCTGTGGTTGGAAAATGAATACTGGCTTCTTCAAGCTCTATATTTTCTTACTTTTGTAATGGTTTTGTAGAGGCCCCCCAGACTATCACTAGGTCAAACGCATCCAGATCCAGTTGTCGAAACATCTTCCTTGTCAGCTGTTCAACCTCCAGAACCAACATACCATCTAAAGATTATGGATGATCTGGAGAAATCCAATGCACTTTCATGCTTGCAAATTGAAACACTAGTGTATGCTTGCCAGGTTACTTTCTTTTCTCACTTAGTCGGCAAGTTTAAGACTGCTTCTGTCAGAGCTGCTGGCATTATAGCAATGATGGTACCTGTTGCTTTATGACAGAGGCATCTTCACCATCTCCAAGATGGTGCAAGAGCAGGCTTTTTCATTGGTGACGGTGCTGGTGTTGGTAAGGGTCGAACCATTGCCGGATTGATATGGGAAAATTGGCAACATGGGAGGTGTAAATCACTGTAAGCATCCTGATAAATATGTACATGTTATATTAGCATGAAGCATGATGATAGTAGCAGATCCTTTTTGTAACTTTTGTTTTAATATGCTCCTTTATTGATGTATTGTTCTAATTGGAATAAGCTTTGTCTTTCATTGTCATCCTTGTCTATACATTTTGCAGGTGGGTTTCTGTTGGTTCTGACTTAAAGTTCGATGCACGCAGAGATTTAGATGATGTTGGTGCTTCTTGTATTGAAGGTATAAAGTGCAATACTCTAAATGCAAGAATGATTTTAGGGCCTTGTCAAGGTTCTTTTTTACCTCCGAATGCTCTCTTTTTTAATGAAGGAAATTCAGTTCCAACCTATGAGTCCTTTGTGGTCTTTTGCGACATCCTATCTAGACCTACAGGTTGTTGTTAGGGGGTTGATGTCAGGATGGGGTTCATAAATGTAGCTGAATATACCTTTCATGCAAAATTGTCTCTCTTGGAAATTCGGATTTCATGGTCATTTGAAAAGTTTAATAATGCTAGTGAATGATTGATGTTGTGATTAGCCTATAGTCGGTTTACAACAATAGAGACTCCTGATAGCAAGTTCTACAATTGGTACTATGATCCTAAAGCAGATCATTAATATTAATTTATAATTGGTGTGGTAAATGTTATGAAGTAATTTGCAAAATAAAAAATCTGAACACGAAATGTCCATATAGAGTTTGCCATGTAAATTTTCTGAAAAAGTGGATATGGAATACAATTTTATAGTACCAAATGTGACATGATCTGCCACAATCCATACAATATCAAATATCTTACTATGATACTATCCAAAAATTGAGAAATATAGTACTGGAGCCTATTAATTATATACTTAACAAAAGTTTAATCTGAATCAGTTGATTCAGTCCTCATCCATTAAAGTCTCAATTAGGGGGGGGGGGAGAGAGAGAGAGAGAGAGAGAGAGAGAGAGAGAGCTTCAGTTGACTTAATTTTTTTAACATTTGTATGAGCTCAATAACATGAAAGTTGGTTAGTTTGTTTTGAGTCTTTCTTTTTCTGATTTATACAGATTTGTTTACAAAAAAGGCCATTGGGCATAAAGTGCCCGAAACATGCCCATAGCATTGTGGTTCCTGTAGTGGTAGTTGGGAAGCCGAACTGCTTAATGGCACTGCTGTGTATGTTGTGCAGAAAATAATACGTTAAATCACTATAGCAGCCACTGACTGCTCTTTACAACAATACTGGTGACTTCTGAAAACCATGATAGATGCTTGATCATAGAGAGGCTGATTTCTCTTTGTTCATGTAAGTGGTTTTAACTTGTCTAAAGTATATGTAGTTATATAGGTCTAATAAATTCTATATAAAACCCATGGAGTGCTTAAAGATCTACCAAGACCTTTAAGGCAAACCAAGTGTGCATATAACAAGGAATGCCATCCTGTGCTGTTTGGATCGGTATGTATTGTATAGGTGTACTGTGTGTTGGTATCCAGTATGGTCTAGGAAAAGGGCTGAAAATTGGCTCAAAATTAAAAGAAACCCTATTTAAGGTTTTTTCCCTAATTTCTTGGTAGATACATTATATTTAAATCAGAATAGAGTATATATAAGCCAAAATCAATATAAATTCTAGGTTATAAGGATGTCACATGGTCCTTCATTGGATCTGAATCATGTACAAAGAAAAGAGTTAAGATGTTGGATTAGGTGTTGAAACTTTAAGTTTTGCACAATGTAAACTATCGAGATAACACCTATTCGATAATTTATGATAGAACATGTCTGCTTCTACCACCAAAATAAATGATAGGAGTCTACGTATGCCTCTACCCATGAAGTTGTATGTTGATATGGTGGGTTTGTCATACCCAATCCTAGAATTGCTCCCAAATATTGTGCAAGTAAATCGTGTGCCGTTTATACATCAACGTGGTAACAATCGTTACCTTATCGTCATTAACAACACAAGTTCGAGGAGTAGATAGGTATGACCATGGCATGTAGGGCCATGGAGGTTAGAGTTTGCCTGAATCCCTAGTTCCAATCCCTCTTTTATTCAAATCAAGAGGTTGATTTCCACTACTTGACGATTAGAAGGATTAAACAAGTGATAGGATGAGAAAGAATGAGAACCAAAATGAGAATGAGTGAGTGAAACAGGGAAGAGGGAGGAGGATTTAAAGGGCCAAAATGGGGCCCAATAGTTTAATTTGATTGTTGGAACTTGATTTGACCTAAGAGTAGTTTGGTATGGTTGATATCCAATCATTACGGTAATTGTTGAGTCTTGACCGTATCAATTGCTACAAGAGGCATATAGCCTGGTCCCTGGTATGCTCACCCCTAATCATGTACCACCAGAAATAGGCTGGTATGCATATTGGTCAACTGGCGGATCAATATGGACCGCTTGTTTTGTTGGAATGTCATGAATGGTCATTGCGCACCCACAACATCTTCGTCAATGGACCGTTCGTTGCTTGTGTGTGCTTGTACATATGCTTGGCAATGTGTTATGCTTTGGTTTTATGCGTTTTTGCTTGAAAACTATGAGCAAGAACATATCGCAGCGTTGCAGAGTGATCGCTCACCATGACGGGCAAAACTGCCCTAAAATGGTCTTGTTTTTGCGTGCCACGACTTATTCTCTATAGGCTGCGGTGCGATGCAAAACGTTAGCTATCTCAGCACCCTGGAATCCCCCATGTGGCACCTGGTTGGATAGGAGTTTGGGGTAGTGTTCAGCATTGATTGGATTTTACAAGTTCGCACGTTAAGCCTCCAGGAACTTGCCATCGCGCCCGACACCCGGTGAGCACTCGTTTGCGGGGTTGCTACTGTTCGTTTGCCTTCTAAAGTTCTTGCCTTCCTCTTTTTTCTCTTTTGTACATCAAGTGTTTGTTGAATTTCTTGTAAGGCTGTCTTCTTCTCGAGACGTCGGGACTTGTTCGTCACTTGTTTTCGAATTAATCAATTTGCTCTTTTATAGGTCCTACGGGACCTGAGCGAGGTTGCAAGTAGGCTGACCTTTTGCAGACGGATAACACAAGGGTACCTCATGACTTAGGCAATTCCAGCTAAGTCCGTGACTTTGGTGTTAGGATGTTTCACGACTTAGGCAATCCTAGCTAAGATTGTGATATTGACACAGTGGTGCCTCACGACTTAGGCAATTTCAGCTAAGTCCGTGATATTGCTGTAAGGGTGACTCACAACGTAGGCAATTCTAGCCAAATCCGTGATAGGACGGTACATCAAAACATGGTATATTGCATAAATCAATTTAATTTATAACAATGAATATTGCGTCTAAGAGAGTGATGAAGCATGTACTTTTTTGAGGTGAGGTAAGACCAACCAGCTGAACTAAGCATGCTCAGTAATATTTCATAGTCGAAGATTAACTTAAAATTCCTTCTTTGTGGTAATATCATAAAATGAATTCATAGAGGTTAACTTGTACTTTGATTCCATGACTAAAAAGTAACTTGGTATAGCATGAACAAATTTCATGCTTACACTATTTGGCTTGTTATGAAAAAACTGTAGCAGCCTGATCTCGTTTTACATTGCCTAAGCATCTCTTACATTGTCTTTGGCAATTTAAGTTTGTAGAGACCATATGAAATTTAACCATATTGCCGTTCACATTTATTGGATAAGCATTTTTCTCTCTTTTCAGTTCATGCTTTGAACAAGCTTCCCTACTCTAAGCTCGACTCGAAGGCTGTTGGCATAAAGGATGGAGTAATTTTCTTAACATACAGTAGCTTGATAGCATCATCTGAAAGAGGCCGTTCTCGGTTGATGCAGTTGTTGCAGTGGTGTGGATCAGAATTTGATGGCCTAGTTGTGTTTGATGAGGTGCTTCGACTTATAGACATGCATGCTACTTTTTTGTTTTCTAATACCATGCCACTTGTGCCTCCTCTGCATATGTTATTTTCCTCAATGTTGAGATTTTAGTGAAGAATTCTTTTGTATTGATGTTCAGTTCTATAAGCTGGGCTATAATCTTTATGGAGCAATTTATTTTTTGCAGTGCCATAAGGCCAAAAATTTGATCCCTGAGACAGGAAGTCAACCTACTCGGACAGGTGAAGCAGTTCTTGAAATCCAGGTTGATGCCTCTAAAGTTTCCAGGCTTAGACTTTTTTCTTAGATACTCACTTTTATTATTAATAAATACTGCACCTTAACTTTTGAAACCAATCTTCGGATAGAATTGTCTTCTTGGAAGGCATCAACATGAAACATTTGCAGATGCTTTTTATTGCTTTTATGATCATTAGTATGAGTTCCATCAATTGGTTCCATAAGCATGCATTTTTTCCTTTCTTTGGGACTTGTGGCGATTACACTTTTGTTGCATATTTTCCTTTATTCTTTTAATTTGACTAGTTGGCTATGAGATTATCTTGTTCTTCACATGTCTGTTCGTATAATTTATTTATCTTGTGTTTATTTTCTAGAGTGTGTAATCTGGAGTTTATTGCGTACAGGCAAAATTACCTGAGGCTCGAGTTATTTATTGTTCTGCAACTGGTGCATCTGAGCCACGAAATCTGGGTTACATGGTGCGTCTTGGACTGTGGGGAGCTGGAACTTGTTTCTCTCAGTTTCATGATTTTCTAGGTTAGCCATTTCTTGCTCATCTTATTAATATCCTTCTTATTATGATAATTTTGATTGCTTCATTATTCTAGCATGGTTGCTGATTTTGTGTCTGTTTTAAGTTAATATTGATTTAAGCTTGGAAGTTTAAAGTCCATGAAACTTGATGACTCAAAGCTTTCCTTTTCTGAAATACTGTTGGTGCATATTGTACTATAAGGGTTACCATCTAAATGTTACTTTTGATTGTATATGGTTAGATGTATGGAGCATGGTAACAATCTGGAAGATTTCATTTTCAACTTTTGAATAGTTGAATCTTAGTTATACGTTAGATGTATGGAGCATGGTAAAAAATTCATGGTATTGGTGATCTTTGAAATTATTGCTTTATTACTCGATTAAGTTCATTAACTGACATGAGAACAGAGATCTATAGTTTTCTCTTTTGCCATTAGTTTGCAGTTTATATGAATCCTAATGGCTTCACTACTTTGGGATGGTAATATATTTTATTTTATTTTTTCCAATAGTCACCACTTCTTGATGGTTCTCCTGCACTAAAAATAGGTAGATTCAAATATGATCTTATTGATATTGGCAACCTTGGTATTGGTTTTATCTTGCTTATTGAAGTTATATTAGTTTTGAGCTGATTGCATGAAATACCATGAGCTATTGGTGAAACTAGTACTTTGACAAATATCAGCATGTGCATGATACTAATTATGTGGATCCATCATCTCATTTACATGAAAGGATCAGTACACTAAAGAATCCTGTTTTTAACTTTTCTGTTTGATAGCCTCAACCTATTTTTCTTATTCAATGCAATCCTCACCATATTGTAACTTCCTATTTCTTGTTTTATGTATAATTTGGAAAAGGATCGTGTAGGTGATACAAGCTTATGCTAGTTTGAGCAATGAGCAGCATAAGTTATAAAACATTCATCTAATACTTGCAAATGATTCAGATCCATGTTCAACTTAGAAATTCTGTAAAAGATGAGGAGGTAAAAAGAAGAAAAAGAGCGATATCATTGTAGCACTTGATCTATATTTTTCTTTTGAGGCAGTAAGCAAGCAATTATTTATCTATTCTTTTCTCGTTAAGAGAATTTCTGAGTTACATGAGGCTACCTGGAGAAAAACAAGAGAAATTTGTTACATCAGCGTGTTACTGGCTACAAGCAAAACCATGTAAAAGAGAACAAATACTATGTCATCTTGAAGCAAAATCATGTAGAAGCAACATTTTCATTAAATTCTCAACAGAAACAGCCTTGAAAAGCCTTTTCATTTTGGCTTTCCATATCAACTAGCAAGCGAAAATGCTAAATTCTTCCAAATTATTCCCAGGAAGAAATTAATGATGTCTTCAAGGGACCTGTAATTTTTTGTAGTGAAGAGGGGTATGACTTGATGATATTGATTGTAAGTCTTCAAACTTCGGTTATAGCAGTTCCAAGGATTGAAATATCGTATCGTATCGGAGTTTCAAGATTCGCTCGGTACGGTACGGTACTGTATACCGAGTGGTATATTTCGTTATACCGCTCTATCACAAACGGTCGTCGTGCACTCGCAACAACTTCGTTCAACGAATCGTTCGTCGCTTTTGTATGCTTGTACAAAGACATGGCAGCATGTTTTCCCTTGGTTTTGTATATTTTTGCTCGGAAAATGTAGGCAACGACAGTTCGTAGCGCTGCAGTGTGATCGCTCGCCGCGCCCAACTGAACTGCCCCAAAATGGCTTCGTTTTCGCGTGCCACGGCTTGTTTTCTGCATGTCACAGCTGTACGCGAAACGTCAGCCATCTCAGCACCCTGGAACCCCCGGGTAGGGCTTCGGTTTATTGTTGGGCGTTGAACAATCTTCATAAGTTCGCACGTTAACTTAATGGGAACTTTCCTTCGTGCCCGGCATCCGGTGAGCAGTTGTTGTGGACTTGCAATTGTTCGTTCTACCTTCTAAAGTCTTTGTTTTCTCCTTCCCTCTCTTTTCTCTCTTGCACTTAAGGTGCTCGTTGAATTGCTTGTAAAGCTTCCCTTTTCGCGAGACGATGGAACTTGTCCGTCGCTCGTTTTCGAACTAATCAACTTTCTCTTTTATAGATCCTTCGGGACCTGAGTGAGATTGCAAATTGGCTGACCCTTTGTGGACGCATATCACAAGGGTGTGTCATGACTTAGGCAAACCTCGGCTAAGTTCGAGAAGTTGGCGCAAGGGTGCTTCGCGACTTAGGCAACTCAAGCTAAGTTCGTAACTTTGCCTCAAGGGTGCATCACGACTTAGGTAATTCCAGCTAAGTTCGTGACATTGTGGTATCAGAGCAGGCAAGCAATTCGAGCAAGCATCGAAGAAACTTCGCAATCTTGCCATGGCCAAGCATCATGGTGAATCGAGCAAGGTGGGGCAAGTCGGACCATTGCCCTAAGCAGCCGTAGGTGGGCTGCAAGTGCAAACTCGCTCTCATGTTGGTAGAGCTGCTCTGGAGGATCGTGGTAGTGAACATGATGAGCGAGAAGTTGGTTACTCTTCGCGAGCGGAGGAGGCGTAATCTGGAGCGCCAATCGGGAAGAAGAGCCATAAGGAGAGACTCACAGTGGCGAAAATCCGCCTGGATGTTCTTGAAGCGAGCTTGGAGGAACTCTACCAAGGCCAACGAAGGCTTCTTGGGGTAGAGAGCTCGCAAGAAGAAGCTGAATCCTGAATCGATAAGGTTGAGGCCCTAGTCGATCAACTGACGGATGATACCAAAGACTCCGTGCAACATTTGCATGAAGTCATGGTGGAACTCACTTCCAGAGTGACAATACTCATAAGGGCATCGAATGCGGGGGGGAGCAACTCCCGTGTTGCGTTGCCACAAAACTTGAGGGTACCCGAGCCTCATTGCTATGGAGGTACTAGGGACGCTAAATAACTCGAGAATTTCTTGTTTGACATGGAACAGTACTTTCGAGCTACAAGGCTTGATTATGAAGATACCAAAGTTTCAATAGCAACCATGTATCTGAACGGGGATGTAAAACTTTGGTAGCGAACCCGTTGGGAGGAGATCCAACAAGGTCGGTGTTGAGTTGACATATGGAAGGACTTAAAGCGGGAGTTGAGAACTTAGTTCCTACCCGAGAACACAAAGTTCATTGCAAGGAGGAAGTTGAGACAACTCCGCCAAAGTACTTCCATTCGAGACTACGTGAAACAATTTTTTGTGTTGATGTTGGACATACAGGACATGTCCGAGAAGGATAAGCTGTTCAGCTTCCTCGATAGCCTAAAACCATGGGCTCGACAAGAATTACATCGAAGGAATGCCACCGATGTGATCGGGGCAATTGCGATCGCAGAAAGGCTTACCGACTTTATTTCCTCGGAGGACTCGTGGAAAAGGAAACAATCTTCAGGAAATCGCTCTCCAAAATATTCTCGAGGGAAGGAGCCCGGGGGCGAACAAAGGAAGAAGAGTTCTCACAAAGGGCCAAGCTCAAAAGGCAAGACCCCAAAACCTAGCGGATGCTTCTTGTGTGGAGGGCCGCATATGGTGAGGGAGTGCCCACAGAAACAAATACTCAATGCTTTAACAACTTCAATCCACCCCTCGACAAGGGCAAGGCCGTCGCTCTTAGTTCGAGTAGTTCAAAATCCAACAGTAACGATGAGGAGTCGCAAGGACCCTGGATGGGAGTAATGCGTTTGTTGAATGCTTTGCGGGGTCAAGTGGGGGAGAACACAAAGATAAAGTCACATAAAGCAGGGAGTAGTGAGCTGATGTACGTGGACATTAAGCTCAATGGCCAAACAACTCGTGCAATGGTGGACATGAGCGTTACCCACAACTTCATTGCCGATTGAGAAGTAAAGCGACTTGGGTTGATCTTGGAGAAGAACCCAAGTCAGATGAAGGTGGTGAACTCGGATGCCAAGTGGATCTCCGGCTGGGCAAAGGGAGTTCCCATCAAGATCGGAACATGGAGCGGGAGCACAAACATGATAGCAGTGCCATTCGACGACTTCTAAGTGATTCTCGGAATGGAGTTCATGCACGCAGCAAAGTTGGTGCCAATGCCATTCCTAAATTCCTTATGTATGATGGGAGGTGACGACCCCTGTGTGGTTCCCATCCCTCGGAGAGGAACCAGGGACCCCCAATAGATATCGGCTTTACAACTCAAGAAAGGGGTACGAAAATGCAAATTAACATTCGTGGCTACTGTGAAGCTAGAGCCACTTGACGAGGAGGCCATTCATGAACTTGTTGTGGTGGCGAACGTTTTAAAGGAGTTCACAAACGTTATGCCACCCGAGTTGCCGAAGACTCTGCTGCCACGCAAAGGCGTGGATCATCCTATCGAGTTGGAGTCAGGAGTGAAGCCTCCAACGAGACCACCCTACCGCATGTCCCCTCCAGAGTTGGCAGGGCTTAGAAAACAGTTAGATGAGCTGCTAAGCGGTGGTCTCATCTGCAGTTCCAAAGCACCATTCAGAGCTCCAGTTCTCTTACAAAAGAAACAATATGGGAGCCTCCGACTATCGACCCCTCAACAAGGTGACGGTGAAGAACAAGTATCCCATCCCGCTCATCGCGGACTTGTTCGACCAACTGGGCAAAGCAAAGTATTTCTCTAAACTCGACCTCCGGTTGGGATACTGGCAAGTGCGTATAGGCGAAGGCGACGAAGCGAAGACTACCTACGTGACTAGGTATGGAGCGTTTGAGTTCTTGGTGATGTCTTTCGGCTTAACCAACGTTCCGACCACGTTCTGCACTCTTATGAGCCAACTATTCAAAGTATTTAGATAAGTTTGTGGTTGTCTACAGCCAAACGCTCAAGGAGCATGTCGACCACCTTTGGACAATTTTCAAGGTTCTTAAGGAGAACACTTTGTTCGTGAAAAGGGAGAAGTGCTATTTTGCTCAAACGGAGATATTATTCTTGGGGCATTGAATCGGTGATGGTTCCATTCGGATGGATAAATCAAAGGTGCAAGTTGTTGCGGAATGATGAACTCC